CAATCACTTGACTATATTTGTATTGATCTATTTCTGGACCTCTTTTCTGTTCCACTGATCTAATTGTCTATCTTTTTTCCACCCTCTCACCATCTTGATTACTGTAGCTTGGGATTGATAGTAAGTCTTGAATTTATGAAGTTCACTAATTTTGTTCCTCTTTTTCAGTTGTTTTGACTATTCTAGTTCTTTGATTTTCCGTATAAATGTTAGAATTAGCTATTGATATATACAGTAAAAGCTTGGATTGCTAGTAATTTGTTCTGTGAGTGTTCTGCAAGAGAAGCAAACATTTCTAATAAATTTTAACTTGATAAACGAGTGATGTCTTGCAATACGAGTAGTATATGATGCCAAATGTCACATGACCACAACTGAGTCAATGGTTCTTGAGATTCGGTTTGATAAACAAGTGCTTTGGACTACAAACATTTTTCTGAAATGAACTATGCTCACAAACGATGGTTTTACTGTATTTTAAAATGCTTGCTGAGATTTGGAGTGAGATTGCAGTGAATCTATAGATACAATTGGGAACTTTATTGAAATGATTTTTTAAATTTCTTTCAGCCATGTTTTATAGTTTTCAGAATATAGCTCCTGTACATATATTTTTTAAGATTTATACATAAGCATCACATTTTTTGATATTGTTAATGGCATTATTTTAATTTAAAATTATAATTACTTATTGCTCATATGTAGACATATGACCTTTGTGTTTTGAGTTTCTATTCCACAACTTTGGTTAACTCATCCTTTAGTTCTAGAAGATTCTACATAGACATTTATGTCATCTGCAAATAGAGACAATTTTATTTTTTCTTTTGTAAACTATATGCCTTTTGTTTCTTTTTTAATTTTCTTTTTTTTTAATAGTTTATTGTCATGTTGGTTTCCATACAACACCCAGTGCTCATCCCCACAAGTGCCCTCCTCCATGCCCATCACCCCCCTTCCCCTCACCCCCATACCCATCAGTCTTCAGTTTGTTCTCAACATTCAAGATTCTCTCATGGTTTCCCTCCCTCCCTCTCCCCCCGTTTCCCCTCTTCTTTTTCCCCACCGTCCTCCATTAAGTTCCTCCTAATTCTCCTATACATGCAAACATATGGTAGTTGTCCTTCTCTGCCTGACTTATTTTGAAATCTGGCCATGTTATGCTGAGCCTTTTGTTTCTTTTATTTTTTTCCCACTTATTCCTCTGACAAGGACATGCAATTCAATCTTGAATAAGAAAACATTGCCTTGTCATTTCTTACTATTAAGCATGATGCTTGTTGTAGGCCTTAGTACATACCTGTTATTAGTCTTAGGAAGTTCTCATCTAATCCTAGTTTACAGTTTTATGATGAATGCATATTGAATTTTATTTGGTGCTTTTTCCACATGTATTAAGGTGATCATATGGCCTATCTTATTTAATTGGATAACATATAAATTATAATGATTGATTTTCAAATAATGAACCAGCTTTCCAATCCTTAGATGAAATCCACTTACTTATGATACAGTACCATTTTTTATAAATTGCTGGATTTATTTTGTTAGTACTTTTTAGGAGTTTTGCAACTATGTTCATGAATGGTATTAGTCTTTTCTAAAATGATATCTTCATTTGGTTTGGGAATTAGGATAATACTAACCTTAAGAAATGAGTTATTTTCTCTCTTCGATTTTCAGTAAAAGATTGTATAGATCATGTTTTATTTCTTCCTTAAATGTTTGGTAGAATTCATCAGTGAAACTATGTGAGGTGGGATCTTTCTTTTTGGAAGTTTGTATGTGTGCATGCATATGAATTCAGTTATTTTTAATATATTTAGAACTATTCAGATTATATATTCCACATTCACTGTTGATAGTTTGTGTCTTTCAAGGGATTCATCTATTTCATTAAGTTGCTAAGTTTATTGGCATAAAATTGTTTATAATATTCCCTTACTACCTTTTGCTACCTGTAGGATCAGTCAGGAAGGTTAGCCCTTCTTTTATTCCTGATAAAGTAATTTGTGATTTATTTATTTTTGGTCAGCTTTGACTAGAGATTTACCATATTTATTAATCTTTCCAAATAAGCAGATTTTGATTTTTTTAATTTTTTAAAATTTTCTCTTATTTTTCCGGATTTCAGTTTCATTGATTTTGCTCTTTTATTACATATTTCTGCTTTTGGGGGACTAGTTATTTAGCTCTTCCCCACCCCTTATTTCTTAAATGGAGGCTTCAGTTGTTATTTTCAATATTTCCTCTTTTCTAACATAAGCCATTTGATGATTACAAATTTTCTACTAAATACCGCTCTAGTTGCAGTCTATACATTTTGATATGTCCCACTTTCATTTTCATTTAGTTTTAAATATTTTAAATCCTTTTTGACCCATGAGTTATTTAGAAGTGTCTTGTTTATCCATTTTGAGTTTATTTTTGTGCATGGTGTGAGAACCAACCGGGAGAAGAAGGGGGGAAATGGGGGAAAGGGAGAGAGGCAAACCATGAGAGACTCTTGAATGCTGACAAAAACTGAGGACTGATGGATGTGGGGGGGAGAAGGGATGGGCATGGAGGAGGGCACTTGTGGGGATGAGCACTGGGTGTTATGTGGAAACTAATTTGACAATAAACTATTTGTAAAAAAATAAAAAAAAAAATTAAAAAAAAAAAGAAATGTCTTGTTTAATTTCCAAGTGTTATTGATTTCTAGTTTCCGTTAGGTCTGATAACACTTCGTATTATTTCCATTCTTTTAAATTTGTTTTGTTGCTGTTGTTTTTTAATGGCCCAGAATATGGTCCAGCTTAATGCATGCTCCACCTACACTAGAAAAGAATGTATACTGTTCCGTTGTCCTCTGGATTGTTCTATAAATGTCAATTAGGTCAAGTTGGTTGATGGTGTTGTTGAAACTCTACATTTTGAAAATGGACCTTTGGTAACCTTATGCACACTGAAAATTAAGAGCCACTTGTAGAGAACTAACACTGATTGGGATGAAAGTGTAATGGAGGTTCAGTTTTGGATGGGAGTTCATATTTGTTATGTTTGTGAAAGCCTAGTATCATCCAGTCAGTCATCCATGCTCAGGATATAAGCTTAATAATAGATATCTCCCAAGCACATTACAAGAACAAGTTTTTCCTCTTGTCTTCATCTCTAGATCTTTTGTCCATTGAATGGCCTTTGATGCTTTTCCTCCAAATATTCTCTCTACCTCTTTCACCTGTACCAGCCTTTCTTTTTTTTTAAGTTTATTTATTCATTTTTGTGAGAGACAGGGATAGCATGAGTACAGGAGAGACAGGAGGGACAGAGAGAGAAAGGGACGGAGAGAGAATCCTAAGCAGGCTCTTTGTTGCCAGTGTGAGCCTGATGTAGGAGTCAAACTCATAAAACCATGAGATTATGATCTGAGCTAAGACGAAGAATTAAGACGCTTATCCAACCGAGCCACCCAGGTGCCCCATATACCAGCCTTTCTTTTTAAATTTTTTTTTCAATTTTTATTTATTTTTTTGAGAGAGAGAGAGAGAGAGAGAGATAGAACATGAGCAGGGGAGGGGTAGAGAAGAGGTAGAGACAGAATCTGAAGCAGGCTCTAGGTGAGATCCCTAGAGCCCAAGACGGGGCTTGAACTCATTAACAGTGAGATCATGACCTGAGCCAAAGTCAGCCGCTTTACTGAGTGAACCACCCAGGTGCCTCATACCAGCCTTTCTTAAAGTGTGTTTTATGTTTTTTTAAAAAAATTAATGTTTTATTTATTTCTGAAAGAGAGAGTGTGAGCAGGGGAGGATCAGAGAGAGAGAGAGATAGACAGAATCAGAAGCAGGCTCCAAGCTCTGAGCTAGCTGCCAGCACAGAACCCAACACGGGGCTCAAACCCACGAACCATGAGATCATGACCTGAGCCAAAATCAGACCCCTAACCAACTGAGCCACCCAGGTGACCCTAAAGTGTGTTTTATAAAATACTATGTCCAGGAGCAAGAGGTGGGGTTGTGAGTAGTGTATTACTTGCTTAGGAAACTGCTGCATATTTCCATGTTGAAATTCATGATAATTAATGTCATAAAAGCTCTGAGAAATCTGGAATAAACAAACCTATTCTTTTATTTAATACCCCTTCCTTCTAATAAAAAAAATGCGGGGCGCCTGGGTGGCTTAGTCGGTTAAGCGTCCGACTTTCCCTTAGGTCATGTACTCGCGGTTCGTGGGTTCGAGCCCCGCGTCGGGCTCTGTGCTGACTGCCAGCTCAGAGCCTGGAGCCTGTTTCAGTCTACGACTCCCTCTCTCTCTGACCCTCCCCTGCTCACGCTCTCTCTCTCTCTCTCTCCTAGAAATAAATAAAACATTTAAAAAAAAATGCATAATACCAACTACCTTATACACTTTTTAAGATGGGGTAACATATGTAAAACACATATTTGAAGGTTGGGCACATAGTATGTGGTCAGTAAAAGTATATTACTATGATTTATAGTAGATGGTGTTCTTGTTGACGCTGTTTTAATTTTAGATTTATTCCATTGGCTGACCTTTCAAAGCTGGGATGGAAATGAAGGTGAAAAAACAATCTTGGGAATGCAAACACCAGGAAAGTCACAAAAATTAACCTGAGCTTTACCTGTTTCAGTACATTTTTATTATAATTTATTGATTTTAGTGTTCTTGTAGTGTATCACATTCATTTTAAAGACCTTCCCCAACTCAGTTTGTCAACCTAAATCTGTCTCCCCAGGATCAGTATCATTGGTGTACCTGGGCATTTGCCAGTGCTGTACTAAGAAAATCAGGCTGTGCAATATCATGGATGATGCACCTAGTGTGAACAACAGCTCAGGACTTCACACAATATCTTCAGCCGTCCTCATTCAACAGCATCACCAAGGAAGTGCTGTGTACTCAGAATTCAAAGTGTTTTCCTCCCCAGCTACTTACTCTTGTTCCTTTGGTATCTCTGAGGGAACTTTATTGACGCTCTGCTTTCTTTTCTTAAACAGGTGGGCTCTGCATTGCACAGTCTGTGAGAATCCCCCAAGAGCGCAAAGACAGAACCATTGACTTTGATAGAATTATCAAACAGCTCCTGGACACCCCCAACTCCAGGGCCGTCGTGATTTTTGCCAACGATGAGGATATAAAGTAAGGATGATACTGATGTAACTGATTAATATGCATGCTGCAACTTTAGGAGACAGAAAGATTAGGATACTGGCAAAGAAAGGGGAAAAGATAGCACAGAAGCAAATCTATAATTACACAGTGGGAAAGTCTGTACGTGCTTTCTCCCCTACGCACATAGTGATAGCGAACCATGGAAGCAGCAGTGTGTTCCTGTCATGTCTTCCCCCTCTGTTAGCAAAATAAATGTATTCAATTACTTGTAAAAAGAGAAAATCACTGGACCTTTCAGAGGTTCTTTTCTTAAAAATATATCCAAATGTAACAGACTTTTATCCAAAGAATTGTTCCTCTTAATGTAAAACAGGAAATGTCTTATAATTCTGGCTATATTACTACTGCGTAACACTCAGTATGTTTCAAACCAAGCTTGTCTACCTCTACATCTCCAGGCCATCTCTTTCTCTCTTTTCTTATCTTGATTCTCCTTGGGGTAAAAATCCAATTGGGATCTTGACTTGCCATTTTTTTTTCTCATTCCTTATATTCTTAGTCAAGCTAATTAGAGCTAACCTTTGTTTCTAGAACATAATGTGCCCAGAATATGTTTCTAAGACACAAATGTGCCCTGCCTGATTTCTTCTCTGACCACTACCACCTTGGTCCAGAATATTTTTTTATTTAGAATACACAGTAATTACACTTGCTTAAAAATATTTTACAAATCCAGATTTAACAAAAAGGTTCCATTCATCCTGTGCCTAGCTACCAAGTTCTCCTCTTCAGCTGCAATGCCTGATGACCAGTTTTTTGTATACTCTTCTAAACAGAGTCTGTATATTTTTACACAATGGTGGCATACAGTATGTACATCTTGTTCTGTTCCCTCCTAGCCTTTACTTACTATTTTATCATGGATATCTACGAATGTAAGTACCTATCTAGTCTTTTTAATAGCTGTGCAGAATTGCATCTTATATCCATACTATAATTTACCTAAATGCTCCCTTATTGATTGACATTTGATTACAGGATTTTGCAATTATAAATAATGCTGCAATAAACTTCCTTTTCCACAAATCTGTGCACACAAATATAAATATACACATTTATAATATTAATATATACATATCATGTATTAGATGGATATATGATACTAATACAATACAAATATATATATGCAATTATATTATTTTGTATATTTATAAGTGTTTTTAACATAAATCCCTAGAAAAGAAGTTTCGAGAACAAAGATGTGTCCCAATATGAATTTTATTAAAGTGAAGCTTAAGGGCTCAGGACACTATTGCATCCTACTTGGATTACTGCACTGTCATCACTGCCAGCCTTTCAATTTTATGCCTCTGTCTCCACACACACCCTAAATGTTGCCCTGCATCCATCCATCACTTTCCCAGTATTAAGTTCTGATCTAGGGTGGCAGGATTATTAAATGGAAAGTGTATTAAACCTGAAGTTGAGATCCCTGAGGTGTTTTGAAACTTTAATGACCACTATATCACCTTGGGAAGTCTCCCCACTGTCGCCGCCATCCTGCTTCTTAATTTCTGAGGCCTCAGTTCTCCATCAATAAAATGAAAATCCTTTTAAGCTCTTTTTGTGGTGATCCAGCCTCATCCTACCTTTCCAGTCTCATTTCATTCCCTGCTCCTTCACGTTTTGTGTTTCCTGACTCCCTAGTCTTGGCGTGTTCTCTTCTACCCGCCTAGAATGTTTTTCCTTCCTTATTTTCTCATTCCAGTGCCATCTCTAGTATGGCTTTCTGAGGGAAGATGTCTCGAACGATGCAGCTTTGGCAAATTAATCATAGTTCATGTCACTAATCATATTTTGCATCGCTTGATCGTTAGATTAGTGTCCACCTTCTCCACTAGTCTGTGAGCATTTCAGGGGCAGAGGGGATATCTCTTTGAACTTCCTTCTGTACCCTCAGCCCATATCATGGTATTTGTTACATAATAAATGTTCAAGAAATAGTACCAAATAAATGAATGAATGAATTCACTATACTAACACATACTATATACTAATTTAAAGATAAGCTTCTCTATCTGAACTTCACAATGCTTGAAAATGTGGTCCTAATTTAACATTTAGACCTCAACCCCACTCATCCACTTTGACACCCAAAATGCATGGATCTGGTCCTCCAACAGTTCTAATTGCTTCTCCTCATGACCTTTATTGATGGTATTTTTTTTTTTCCTCTCTCCTTCTCTACCTGTTGAAATGGTCAATTTTTAAATTCTGTCTCAAACATGCCCTTCTCTATGAGACTATGTCTGGCTATCCCTTAAATGTATTGCTTATCTTCTTACAAAATTCTGATGTGTTGCTCTTAGATCATTTTCTTCTAAACTTCTTGTGGTAATTATTTAAAAGATTTTGTTTTCATAATATTATTCTTGTGTTTTCTTTTTTTTTCCTTATTTCTCTCATCTCTATTGATCTTCTTAATTGTCTCATAAATCTTTTTCATATATATCTTACACATTTTCAAAGTATATAATATATTGATATGGTGTGGCTTTGTGTTTATTTCTAAGTACATTGTACATGTCACATAAAAATTACTGCAAATAGCTATGGTGACTAATTCATTATAGTACTCTTGACTTGTAGGTTACTGAGGTTTCAATTTGGGATGTAAAAATGCATACAATCCACTCAGTAAATATGCTCATTATTTTTGCTTTGGGGTTTGTTTTTAGGCTGAATATTATTATATAATGTGATTCATAGCAGTGATAGCAGAAATAGTTTTTGAGCACAGCAATAAAATTTAGTGCATATATGTTTCTTCCAAAACATGATCTCAAATACACTAATGTCTGAAGAGTACTGTTAACTCACAATATTATGTTATTTCTTCTTTTAGAAGATTTACACTGTAAATGGGTAATTTTGAGATTTCTTAGAACATGGACTTAAAATACTTTGTCAGAGAATAGGAGTGAGAAGACAGTAATATCTAGATTTTAAAGCTAAAATAAATGCTAAGTAAGTCATGGGCACTGATAATTTGAATTTTAGACAAGAGTAGATCCTTTTTCTGAAACACTTTTTTCTGATTATAAAAGTAATACATGACTATTGTACATCTACTGGAAAACGTGGAAAAGCTTTTGTTGTTGTTGTCTTTATTAAAAGGAATCCTTACATTTACTTTCCCCCCTGATTGTCTAGAAAAGATAAAGTTTAGAGAGATTAATCACAAACAATGATTTTAAATAATCTCCTATAAAATGTGCAATCCCAATAATCGGAGATAGAATAAAATTCTGGTTTAATCTTTACCATCACTTGTTCCCAAACACACACAGATTTTCCCCAAAAGAATCTCTCACTTTTTATCTCTCACTGTTTCTAATTCACATTTCACTTTTGATACTGTAAAAATTTTTAAATGGTTTCCTCCTATTTATCTTAACAAGCCCACAATTTTACATTTATATTAAAGTGAACATCTACTTTTTTGCATTTATATATTTTTGTCTTTTCTTGTTTTACTTGGCTTCTGCCTACCTTTGCACCCTCTTCAACCTCAGCAGTGCCTTCTCAATGGACTGTTAATAATACATTGTTAACAATATCCTTATTTTTCCATGCTTTCAGATGACCCTATACTTCTAACTATGTATATATACACATATACTGGCAAAGTTTAGCCAGCTTTAATTATATATAACTTGAATATTTTTTGCAGGTTTTTTCATTGATTTTTCTTTTTTAACATGTGCTTGTGTAAATCTAAAGATATTCACTTTTTTTTCCCCAAACTAAGTATATTTTTAATTGTCTTCTACTCCATCCTTTGGATGCACTTTATTTGTTTAGACAATACCCCATTGCTCTGCACTTTGGTTGTCTGCAGTAATGTACATACACTTTTGTCAGCGTTTTTGAGATTTCCTTTGCATAGATTAGTAAAAATAGTATCTCTAGGTCATGAATACAAATAATTTTGTTTTTTATTAAAATGAAAAACACATATAAAGAATTAAAAATATAAGTGAAACCCTTTGATACAAACAGCAGTGTTTAGTCCCTTCAGACTCTCTGGTTAAGGTCTCTTTGAGCAGTTATTTTAATTCTTTAAGCTATTTCTTCCTGTATTAGGCACATCTGCATAATGTAATGATACCACAATTTTGGACTTAATAGTTTGAAACTTAATAGTTTGAATATTATCTATTAACTCCTCTTATGTTCGGTAGAATTTGGCTCACTTATACCCTTCTTATTCTCTCAATATTATTCTATCAGATTTTCATTTAACAGAAACCAGTAGGTGCATTATTATGATTATATAAATATTATGTGCCATGTACCATGGCATCAAATCTTTTTTCTATGATATGAGTTTTTTTGGAAAACCTTTAGTTTTTCAAAGCATTCATATTATAATTTTTATTTGTTTTTTTCTTACTAATGTCATAGGTCTAACATCTTTCCCATATATTCATGTGAAAGATAATCTGTGAGTTCCATTATTTTTCCTGGACACTTCCCTTCTAAAATCTCCATCTTTATATTTTATTCTACACTAGTCTATATCATGTTAAGAAAATCTCCTGTCACTTATTTACATTTATAGCTTCTTACCTCATTTTACTGGAACATGCACTTCAATAACTTTCTAGTAAAGCCTAAATTAAAGGAAAACATTTTGTGTTACATGCCTAAAATATGTTCTCATTCTTCATACTTAATTAGTAGTTGGGAAGGTAAGGCATAGCTTCTTATTTATTTATTTATCTATTTATTTAATTAATTTATTTAAGTGTTTATTTATTTTTGAGAGTGTGCAAGCTGGGGAGGGGTGTAGACAGGGAGGCATAGGATCTGAAGTGGGTTCAGAGCTGACAGACTAACAGCAGCAAGCCTGATGTGAGGTTCAAACTCACAAACCATGAGATCATGATCTGAGCCGAAGTCGGAGTCTCAACTGCCTGAGCCACCCAGGTGCCCCGCTTCATATTTATTTTTCATTACGTGATAACCTGGCATATAAGAATTTTCAGTCAAAGCAATGGTGACTAATGAGTTGTAGGACTTATAACTTGCAGGGAGCTGGAGGTTCTAATTTGGGATAGAAAAGTCTGCAAGTTCTAGAGGACATATATGCTAATTATTTGTATGTTAAATATTGGATTTTAGATTATAAAATATATTTTCCTCGGAATTTGGAAGGCATTGCTCCACTATCCATCATCTTTTTGTTTGGTTCGTTTTTGTGTGTGTGATTGTCTTTGCTACTAAGATGTTGGTGATATTCTGCTTACTTTTCTGCCTGTGTCCTACTCTTTTTTTGGAAGCTTTTAGGATATTTTCATTTTTCCCCCCAAATTTTAAATTGTGTGACATGCTTGAATTTTCCCCATTATTTTGCTGAATGAGACTTTTAAATTTGGAAACTCATACTATCAATTTATTGGAATTTTCTTCATTAAAAATACATTGTTAAAAAATTTCACTCTGTTTTCTCTGTACATTTGTTCTAGAAATTTTATGAGCTGAATATAGGTGTCCCTAGATTCATTCTTTAAGACTCTTACACTTTCTGAAGTATGTTCTACCTTTTTGTTGCTGTTTTGCTTTCTGAATAATTTGCTTCACTCTTTTCTTTTTCTCTCCTTACATATTTTATATTTTAGTAACTAAAAGCTATTTCTTATTGTTGGTTTTTATTTTCTATGTTATCTCGTTCTTGATTACAGACATGATAGATATGATCATTCTTATTTAAATATATTTGTTTTTGTTCTTTTTTATGTATTTCTTTGCTCCAATACACATCATTTTCCTTTTTTTATGTTAACTTATTTGGTTTCTAATTAACATTGGAGATTTTCTGAAATTATGGGTGATTTCTGGCAGTTTCCATTTGAGAGACCAAAGAGTTCTTGGTACATGGACAGTGCATATCACCTGAATGGACTTTCAGTGAACTGGTCAGACATCCAAGTTGCCATCCCATTAGAGGGTCTGTCTATGGCAGTATATAGAATTATTCATCTAGGGTAGTCCAGATTTTTCCAGAAAAGCTATTTTCTACCTGGAGAGACACTCTTTTAGTTTCCAGTATTCTGTAAGCAGAAATCTAAATTTCCTAGAGGGTCTTACCATTTCAATTCTTAGTGATAAATTTAACTTATCACCCTTCCCCTCATGTTTAATTCACCATTTCTCATTCATAGCCTTCTATCTAGTATTTGGATGTTTACAATATCAGAACCTATTCTTTACAATTTTAATCAGAAATTTCCATTTCATTTTCTGCCTGGAAGAAAAAGAATGCGACACTTGGTACCTCCAAGTTTTGAGAAGCAAACAAATCACTTCTCCTGGGGTATGACCCACCAAAGGAGTTTTAATTGTAGCTTCCTCTGTTCTACAAAGGCAAGCACCCTTATCCATCTCTTTTTTTCACACAAAAAATATATTGTAATAACTGTACGATAAATGATGAGTCTTCATTTTGTTTTATTTGCCTTGTTGCCCTTGTTACTTATATACTATTTTTAAATTTTTAAAAAAATGTTTGTTTATTTTTGAGAAAGAGACAGAGACAGAGCACAAGCAAGGGAGGGGCAGAGAGAGAGAGGGAGAGACACAGAATCTGAAGCAGGCTCCAGGCTCTGAGCTGTCAGCATAGAGCCCAACACAGGGCTTGAACTCACGAGCCAGAAGATCATGACCTGAGCCGAGACACTTAACTGACTGAGCCACCCAGGTGCTCCATTTATATACCACTTTTATTTATAAACCTGGGATGTAAAATTTTCAAGTATGACATGCTTGTTAATTTGAATGAACAATTTAAGACCCTTAATTTAAAGTAAATGTTGCTTTCCCGAAATTATATATACCACCAGCAGTGAATGCAAACACTCATTTCTCCAGCCCCATGCTCAGACCCAAAAAACATCAAATCTTTTGGTCAACATGAGAAGCAAATGTGATATCTTCCCCTAATTTACTTTTCCCTCCTTTCTAATGTATATGAGTATGTATCTCCAGCTTATGGGTTATTTATATTTCTCCTTTTATCATTTATCTTTTACTGTTTCTTGCCTATTTTCTTCATGCTGTTGTGATCAATTTTCTTAGTGGTTTATAAAATCTCTTTATATATGCAAAGATATAAATCCTTCGACATACTTCTTTTTTTGCCATTGATTACTTCCTTTTTGAAAACTGGTAACTTGCTTTCCTTCTGCTTCATTCCTATTTTATATACATTCAGTAGCTGCTCCTTATCATTAATATAACTTTTCCTGTTGTTTTTCACAGGCAGATCCTTGCAGCAGCCAAAAGAGCTGACCAAGTGGGCCATTTTCTTTGGGTGGGATCAGACAGCTGGGGATCCAAAATAAACCCACTGCACCAGCATGAAGATATTGCAGAAGGAGCCATCACCATTCAGCCCAAGCGAGCAACAGTGGAAGGTATGGGTTTTGTCCATTGTAAAATATGCTAAGAGACTGGTTTGGGCCATGCAGGATGGCTAAATCATGTGTCTCTTTGAGGGTTTGGTGTTTTTACATAATGTATGCAGTGTGATTTCAAATTCTAGCCATGAAATGCAGATTAGGCCATATATCTGGTCTGTTATTTTAGTTGACAGTTCTCTTTTGAAGAGATCATGTATTTTTATAATATCAAAATCCACATTTTTTTCATTATGGCACCAGAGCTTCCTGAGAGAAGAGTATTACCATTAATAAGTCAAATAATAACACAATCCAAGTGTACATACATGAACTGTATTTTTTTTGAAAGAATATTATTCCTTTGCAATTTATCCATTACTTCTGTAGCAGAATAACTCCGTAGATCCTTTCCTTTGTTACCTCATGGAGTGTCTTCCGGCCCCCAGCATTGTACTGCACACCACCTCTCTCAGGCACCATCACCTTGACTTCATGGGTCCCTTTTGTTCTCACTTTCTTTTGCCTTCCTAAATCACTGCCCCCTTTCTTTTCCTTTGCCTCCCTTGCTGCTACAAAGAGTCTATAAGAGGAAGAAAGAGGAGAGGTGTTTATTGGTATCCTTCTGATCTAACAAAATTGCTGATTACAATTTATGTTCTCCTTTAATTTGAAAAGAAAAGTCATTTTGAAAAGAAGATAATGTGAAGAAAAGGAACTATTCCACTAGTATCCTGATTTATGTTTCTTTTCTGATGGGCCAGGTCTCCAAAGATTCCCTAAAACATGCTTGCTTTGCACATTAAAAAAGCCTCTATCTTCTCACTCAAAAAGGGATCAAATATTTCCGTTTCTTTCTATTCTGCCTCCACTCCAATATAATTAATTATTCTCCCCAGAAGGCTGCTTGGTCTATGGAGACCTTTTTAAACAAGCCAGGTTGTGGTTTAGTCACTGTTGACTTTCTATGTTATCTGGGGGAGATAAAGATCCCATGAGTCACCCATGTATTCATTGGGAGGCTTTGAATTCATTTCATTCGCTAGTACATGTCCTGAGAAGATTGCTTATCTTACAACACGGACCAGTGCATTTGCAGATGCGTTGCAAAAATAAAAGATAACATTAACTATCTCCACTCCTTTTTACTCAAAATTTTGAGTATCCACTGTATGTCTTGCTCTGTTCTGAAAGTTTAAAAAATAAGATGACAAAATGCTTACTTTCAAAGCATGCAGAGCTGAGAGAAGGTGTCAAAAATAGCCATTGGCTAGGTAACATGAGAAACCTTGTATGTGTAATATGGAATAGATACCACAGGGCACAAAGGAGATACTGTGGAAGTTTCTCTCCAGTGGTGATGTTGCAGTTGGGGGATATTCCTGAGAGAAAGTAAAGTGATGACTTGAAATGCCTCAGGCAGATGAGAACACCATCCATTCCCAACCCAGGGGGGATGGGAACAGAAGAGTGAAGGAGCAGGGCACACTGGGATACCAGTAAATAATTCATTCTACAGCACAGCCCTGCATTATAGCCATCCTGAAATTCTTATGATTTTTTAAAAACCGTTCCCACTTACAGGGCATTGGGAAAACCCTTTTCTCTCCTAGAGTTCCATTCACTGAACTATTGGCCGGATTAACTCCTAGTTTTATCCTTTAGGACTTTGCTTATACATTAATTTTCCTTGGAAGCTACATATGACCCTTCTACTTCACCCAAGTTTGGGTTAGATGCCTTTTCTGTTGCTTCTGTGGCATCCTTCATGATCCCTACTACTGTAGCACCTCTTTACTTGTCTCTGTCTACAAACATATCTGTTATGCACGCCTTTGGACTGCGTATGGCAGATACTCAAACAGAATTTTAAGTGTTGGATGCTGAGATGGGTGGAGGAATCACAGACTATCTGAGTTCCTGACATAAAATATGGCAGAGAAATGGACCAGAGTTGAATTATGAAAGATCTTGAAACTACACTAAGAAAAGTGTTCTTTATTCTGAAAGTTGGAGCAAGGTCTGGAAAGTGGAATGTGATCAAAGGGGGTTAGAAAGTTGACTCAGGTGATGTTATGGAGAAGTAAGAGTCAGGTGAGAGTCAAAGCAAGCAAGAAAGGAGTGAGGTCCTTCCTTCCTCGACTGAAGATGCTGCATAGACATGGATGCCTATACTCCATGGTTACTAACTCCAGTTTCATGATATTTAGAGATTACTAAGTATCTTGAAGTTTATATAAATTCTTGAAAAAAATTTTTCTACTATGTATTTAGGGATACACATTTTTTCTTTTTTGGGGAGGAGAGAGGGATGATATACAAAACTCTTAAATCAGACACAAAACAGCATCCTACGTATGCAAAAACCTAACTATATCTATATTTATATCTAGATCTAAGTCTGTATTTATATCATTTGTATCTATATCTCTCTGTTGGGGAGGGGTTGTTCCAAACAATGAATTGAAAGAGAGAAAGAGATTGTTAACATTGGAAAATGATAGAGCACCAACTGTTTGTACAGAACTCTCTATTCTTAACCAGATAAAAATAAGTTTTGTTTTGTTTTGTTTTGTTTTGTTTGTTTTTTGTTTTTGTTTTTGTTGTTGCTGGTGTGTGTGGCTTATGTCTAGCCATATTGTCTGTGCATTGCTACAAAGAACAGCCTAGATTTGCTTACTTAGGAAATGAAACATCAAGATTGTGGCTGTGCATTTATAGTGACACACTCCTAAGGAAGCGCAAAAAGAAATGCATTTACTTGTGCTCAGATTTGTAAAGCAAGCTATGAAATATCTCAAATGGAACTAACAAAATTGGACATTTTCTGTATCAGCAAATAAGTTTTCCTCTCCTGTCTAATGTTTTTCTTTTTGATAAATATTCCATATTGATTACTGTCGTAGAACATCCTACAAATATTTATAATACTCCTATATCCCTGTATCTTTGTGTTTTATAGTGTTGTATGTACAAATGTAAACAGGAAAAAGGCAATCAATAATCAACATGTTTCTATCCTGTAGATTTATATTTTGAACATGTTCAGCAAAGATCTGAAATTTTGGCTGGTCTTTTCTCTATCTGCATGAATAATTAACAATAAATTGCTTTAGGCTAAATTGCTAGCAAGCACATGGCCTTTGTGAGAGTAGTTCTCATCTTCTTTTATCTTCTATCTGTATTTATTCTCCATTTATGCAAGAAAGGGCCTCTGTGTTTGCTAGCCAAGTGTGTTGTTCTTCCCCCTTTCAATTTGATGTTGATAGGAATTGTGCCCAGGAAAGGTCAGCCGTGGCCCTGATCGCTGCCCAACATTCACAGGATATCTGGAGAACGTCTCCACAGCTTGGCAGCTCTCCTCCAGCTCCTGAGCCAAAACACTTCTGTAATTTTCAGTGTCTCTGAATTGTCTGATGAGCCAAGGGATCTCTGGCATTTTCCTCTCTTCTGTTGCCCCATTAACTAAGATTCTCTGTCATCTCTCCAGCCCCCAACAAGGCCTCAGAGCAAAAAATGTCCATGGTGCTTTCAACTCTTTGCCCTACAGAGTGCTCTGCTTCTCTGAGAATAGGCTGTCCAAGGCATTCTCTAATTATAGTCAACGGGGATCATGGACCAGTATCTTTTCATCTCTGCTATAATCATTAACATTAGGGAGCTAGTGTAATGAAGGATAGATATTCAAAGCTAACTATAATGGCTCTGACTATTGGTGATGTTTTCAAATGTGTCTGTGGAACAGCTTGGTTCCTGAATTAAATCTGCAATCTCTGTAGGAGAGACAAAAAAAATGCTATGGACCTGGCATAAAAAGTTGGTTATTTCATGCTTTTTAAATTCAAGGCTGAAATGAATTCTATATTTTTCCTAAAACCAGAGATCAAAGCTATGAAGAGCTGAACTAAAATATTTCTGGCTGCAATTTAGATGTGTCCTACTTTAGCCTTCCTTGATTACCTAGAATGTACCACACATATCACAAGGTTTTGTAGGTGAAAGGAAGAAAATGACTAGATAGAAAACATTTCCCTAAACCACAATGCTATTTCTGAGCAATGCATATGCCTTTTGGAGCTATCACTGGTTTAATAAGAGAGCAGTGAGAGTATTTTGTGTTCAGTGTCATGACAATTGCTTTATTGACTCTTTTACAAATATTTATAAACTCTAGCAGGGTATCAGGCACCAACCTAAACAGTGAGATATAGCAAATGACAGTCTAGACCAGTTCCTTGCCCTTATTTAGAAGTGATGGGTGATAAAAAAAAAGTGTAAACAAGAAAATATTAGAATATTTTTTATGTTTTCCCCCTAAAAACCAGCTGGTAAATGATGGAGTTACTAAGGTAGAAGAGAGACCAGGACACAATACAGGTCCAAAAAAGATTGGCAGACTGTGGGTGCAAGTCAATGGCTGAAGCCTTTGTAGCCTACCCTAGATTCCTGGCTCATATCCATAACAGATTCTTTCACTGCTTAAAACCCACGAAGGTTTCCCATTTCTCTATTTCTTACTGCTCTGGAAAATAATTTGTTCTTCCTTATAGATCAAATCATTAACATTTTCAAAAGACTGCCTGATTTTCCCAGGGTTAGTCTACCCATCAAAAGCAAACTCATCACTCCCCAAGTCCAGAATGTGCTATATACCCCTTTTCTGCAAACACAAAACATACCATGCTCACCTGAGGCACTTAAAACTAGAATCTGAACCTCAAGGGCAGTGCCTACAGCCTGTGGCTTCCGGGAGATTATCCATCTTTGTTTCTACTCCCTTTGCATTTAGTAAGGACCCAGCACATAGTGAATTTTTTATTTTTTATTTATTTTTTTAAATGTTTTATTTATTTCTAGGAGAGAGAGAGAGAGAGAGAGAGCAGGGGAGGGTCAGAGAGAGAGGGAATCACAGACTGAAACAGGCTCCAGGCTCTGAGCTGGCAGTCAGCACAGAGCCCGACGCAGGGCTCGAACCCACGAACCGCGAGTACATGATCTAAGTGAAAGTCGGACGCTTA